ACAATGCAAAGACCTCACTCTTAACAAATGTTTTTTGCCTGCCAATCTGAATTTAGAAGGGTAGGGACAACATGAAACTTTGCCTTTTTCTCTCAGCCAGGCCCCACAGACAGAGATGGAAACGGCAAAGCTTATTTTGGTTAAGAATTCTTACCTTTCACAGGCTTCTGCCAGTTTCCTCAGGATCCCATCCGCAGGCCCTGGAGTGTGTGGCGTGTCCCAGAGGGTCACACTCTGGCCACCTGAAACTTTAGAGGAGGAAAAACAGTTTTCCCCGTACCCCTATGGTGAGTGCTTGGCTCTAGGGCACCTCCTGAATGGATGAGCTTTATGTAGAAGTTCTCCACTGCGGCCACAGTAATTCAAGATTACCTTTGGTAAGGCTAACCTGCTTGCTCAGGCTTAAAACATTTCATCCACCTGAGGCCACACACTTGCCCCGCTCCGCCCCCACCCGGTTCGGTTTCTAAGCCGGACCAAGTCCGCCTCCCCCGGTCCGCCCCCACCCGGCCCAGTTTCTAAGTGGGACCCGATCTGCCCTCACCCGGTTCAGTTTCTAAGCGGGACCAAGTCCGCCTCCGCCCCGTCTGCCCCCAGCCAGTCAGGTTTCTAAGCAGGACCCAGCCCGGTTTCTAAGTGGGACCCGATTTGCCCCCACCCGGTCCGCTTTCTAAGCGGGACCGAGTCCTCCTCCGCCCGGTCCGCCCCCACCCGGTCCCGTTTCTAAGCAGGACCCAGTTTCTGAGCGAGATCCAGTCCATGGGCACCCGGTCCGGTTTCGAAGCAGGCCCCTCTACGCCGCCCCCCCCCCCCCCCCCCCCCCCGCGGTCCGGTTTCCAAGCAGGACCCAGTCCGCGCACACCCGGTCCCGTTTCTAAGTGGAACCCAGTTCAGCCCCAGAGCCTTCCGGTTTCTAAGACGGAAGTAGGCCCCTCCGACCTGGTCCGCGTGCTAAGCGTGGCCCAGTCTCCTCACAGCCAGCCACCCAGGGTTCTATGTTGGACCCAGCCGGCCCCTAGTCTGTTTTAGTTTCTAAGTCATACCCATGCCCACCCTGTTCCTCGTCCAGTTTCTAAATTGGGACCAATCTGACTCAGCCGGTGTCCGGACTCAGTCCGGAGAGAGAAATGCTCGAGTCAAATCTGAAACACCTCCCTTGAGAGCTGCAGAGCTAGCATCCAACAGGGACGTACAGCCTCCAGAGGCAGCGGGAAAGCAGAGGCTCAGAGGGTTCAGCAGGTAGGTGCTGGTGGCTCCTTGCCCCTGGGGGCTCCTGGGGGTCTCCTTTTGTTTCCTCTTCTGACCAGAGTTGGTAAAAGATCGACTGAGGCATGGTAGAACTTTTAAGAGTGTATGTGAACAAAACTCGATTCAAATCGGGCAGCATCCAGTCTAACAGATTGAAAGGAGCTCCGAGGAGCTGTACAAAATAAAAGGAAGAAGGGAGTGAGAACGCGAGAATTATGCTTGCTAGACGACAGAGCAGCGCGGTTATTGCAAGGTCACTTTCCTTTAGGGGATGGCACGGGTTTGTCAGGCAGATTACCTAACTAGGATTGATCAGGTGATTCCTGATTGACGGGTCTAAGACTCCATTTGTGGGTGAGCCATAACTGTAATTAAGTTAAATCTTCATTGGGGGAGTGGGGCTTGGTGTAAGCAATTCGATTTTGGACCTGTTGTCTTAACCGCAGTTTGCCACGAAGTCCTAAAATACTACATGTTTTCCTTCCATGTGCTGGTGATCCCATTGTCATCATCATAAACTGTGCACCTATTTCAGTCCTCTCCAGACTGCTGTGTCCCCAGTGGAAGAATCTGTTCCACCTTTATGAACTCCTCTGCCTAGCATCCAACCTGGCTTATCGTGTTAATGCCACTTAGTTGTTCCGTTTTTCTGTCTTATGAAGTGGAGTACATATAATGTGTATCCACACAGACACATACAAAAACATACAAGTAGATTAGCAATATAAATAATTTTTCTGAAGCCCTCCTGTCTTGTTAGCTCTAAACTCTGAGAACCTACACAAACAGTGTTTGTCTTCTCACGAGGAAGAGGAGTGTAGAAAAAGAAACTTTGGAGAAAGCAGACCTGCTTACCTTTTTTATGCCTTTCTGTTTGCTCTCCCACCTCCGGATCCTGACGGTTCTGCTCGTGTGGGCTGTGTGATGCACCCATTGGAGGGTGTGGGGTACACCAGCATGGACCATGAGGTTCTCTGCCTCTCTTTTTCTGGTTAGACTTCAGAGGCTGATGCTCCACTTCGGAAACTAGATTTGGGTGTGAGCCACTGTGCCTTCTGCCTGACAGTGGAGAGGATTCCAAGTGACAAGGCTTAAAGCACCTTGGAGAGTACCCCGTTGACAGTGTTGGACGGACTGTTCCATGTAGTGAAGAAGGAACCATGGAGGGGGGAGGGAATGAGCAGCTGTTAAGAATGATTAAACTTGGGGTGCCTGCGTGGCTCGGTCGGTTGAGCATCCAACTTCGGCTCAGGTCGTGATCTCCCGAATCATGAGTTTGAGCCCCACAACGGGCTTTCTGCTGTCAGCAAAGAGCCCACTTCCGATTCTGTGTCTCCTTCTCTCTCTGTCCTTGCCCTGCTCTCTCTCTCTCTCTCTCTCTCTCTCTCTCTCTCTCTCTCTCTCAAAAATAAGTAAACGTTTAAAAAAAAAAAGAATTATTAAACTCATCAGGTCACTGCTGATTTTAGGTCAGCCTAAAATACTTCAAAGCTTATTGGTGTTCTGGGTATAGAGTCCAAAATCCTTGCCATGGCTGTCACGATCACCCACGATGTAACTGCCTGCTTCTTCAGCCACACGTGAGATGCCTCTCCTTCCTTCCCATTGCCCCAGCCATACTGGCCTTGGTATTTCCTCAGATGTGATTGGCTCTCCTACCAGAGCAGCTTTATGTAAATGGTTCCTTCCTCGCAGATCAGTTTTCTTCTCCAGCCTACAGGCAGCCCACTACAGCATGTTCTTCTCTGACCCCTCAAACTCGGTTAGTGCCCCCAGTTTTACAACCTCTGGCACTTTCTCAAAACTCTTTTCCTTTACTTGCCCTTTCTCAGAACTCATCAGTCTTTCAGCAGCTTGTCCACGGTGTCTTCTTCACTAGACCACGAGCTCCGTGAGGGTAGACACCAAGCCTGTCTCATCCATCCCAGGATCTGCCATGTCGGTCCCCTTGCCAGGTGGACACCAGACTCAAGAAATAGCTGTTCAGTGAATGCATGTCTCAAAGCTTTTAAGTTTTAAGGATAATTCTCCGAGCCAACTGCGTGATGATACTGGAAACATAAGAACTGAACGGGCTCTTCCTGCTCTGTGTCTCCCAAATCCAGCTGGGAAGCAGGAGGTTTGAAGGACAAGCATTATAGATGGGGACTCTGGGTGAAGAACCTCAGCCAGGGAGCCAGGCCAGGACTGTCATTGTGAAATAGGAACATGTTCATGGGAGGTGACCCTTTGCTGGAACCCATCAATTCCAATGTGGTCGATAGCTTTGGATTGTTATGCAATGTGACTAATTCACCTGTGGAAAAAATTTAGCTCCAACAGTAGTGCTATTTTTTGTTTTTCATTAAAATCCTGATATCCTGACTAATCCCAACTGGACTGTGTCCAGACTGTACCATTTCTGTAACATTAGAAAATAACCTGTAACCACACCAGCAAAGCCACCCCTTAAAGGACCAATGGGAACCGGAGGAGTCTAGAGCCCCCTCACCACACGCACACACACAAAAAATGACTAGGGAAATAATTTGGCCTGAATTGTTGTTTAATGTAATCGAATTAGATCTCCATATCCGAATAGGCTTGGCCTTCTGAGTGTGTGTCATTTAGTCTCTCTAAATCAGTCACTCACTTGAGTGCCTACTATCTAGAACCCTAGGGGCCGGTAATCAAAGTGAAGTAACTGTTTCTATCCAGAGATCTTATTGTCCATTTGGAGAGACAGAATGGAAAAGAGTAAGTGAACCAAAGTGCTAGAGGAATGACAATATATAACTTTCAGATTCCAAGCAATGCATCCAGCGTTCATAGAGAGGCATACCCTGAGGAATCGGGAGCAACCTCAAGAGCACCAGTCCTACATTTTCTGCACCTCTGGCATTTACTATTGGCTCATGGGTTCTCAGTTTTTCACAGGACCTCGTTTCAATGCCGTGTAGGACTGTCTTCTCCAAATTAGCACACATAAATGCCAAAGAGCCAAAACTCTACTAATTATCCCAAACTTTGTGACTGTTTTTTGGTACTACTTTACCTATAAACTCCATATTCGTGTTCTCAGAGTTCTTAACAAATTATTAAACACTGTTTAAAGATGGTTTGCACGACACCATTTCATGTCGATTCTCTGCTCAAAGACTATAATCGTTGTGCCTGTGTTTCAGTGACTCTATACTTAAAATTTCAACTTGGCCCTCTGTTACAAGAGACTTTTAGATTTCACTTATCTAAAATTAAATTCCAGTTATATTACTGATAATAATTTTTTTTATGGTAAACTTATGAAGCATTCACTTATTTGTATAAGCCTATCCGTATGTCCAAAATGACTGGGGAACAGACAGGCATATGGTTGAGAGAGTCATAAGATGGTGTGGGATCTACTGGAAAGAAATGCTGTCTTTTTTTGGCTCACCAAGAGCCTGAGAAGATGTAGGCCTACCCTTTGCTGTCAGCAGCAATCATGCCACCAGACAAAGCCCAACGTCAAAGATAACCTGAAGACAAATGTAGCCAAATTCTAATGTCAGTCTTATCAACCCTAACCTGAGTCCATCCTACACCTGGCCTTGCATGTAAGTGCACCTAAAATTCTTTTTTATGCTCAAGTTCATTACTCAGGTTGGATGTGTCTTGCAAACAAACGAGGCCCAACTGGTTCATTCTCACAAAAGGAGCAAGGTACGAAGAAAACTACAAACAGGACAAATTTATGTCACGTTGTATTTATTGGTATTCAATCTGTTTTCTTCCCAGAGAGAAAACATATAGTCTGAGGTATCACATTTTAATAAATCCTTTGCTTCTGGCTTTACATCCTAAATGTCTATGACCCCTAATCAGGGTTCAGTGCCATCACACACAGTGGTTACAATTTTTCCCTGAGATCATTAAGGCTATGCCTTGAGCCACAGAATATCTTGCTCTACCAAAATTCAGGAGAAAACAGGAAACTGGACGTCTTTTAGCGGTAGAAGAGGCAGACATCTTAGGTAGAATTCCTGAGAAAAAAGTTGTAGAGTCATCCAATCCACTAATTAATATTTCCCTGGTTGTGAACTCTTATCCCTTCAGAATCTCCAAACATTCTAGAAGGGAAATTCATTTTATTGCCTATAAAGACACTTTGTCACAGCTGTGCGCACAGTATTTTGACTTTTGCAAACTGCCAGAGAGCCATCATGATGCCTCAGTTTCTGATAAAATGCAGAGCTAGTGAGGTATGGTCAGCCTCTCTCCAGTGGCTTGTGGGAAGGAGAATCCCAGACATAGATGATAAGAAAACATGGCTATCACATTAAGTGTGTAATCAGGCCTGCCATGTGTTTCAACATGGTTTGAAATCAAAACAGCTCAGGATCTTCTACAAGTACAAATGGTGGAAAGACTTACTGGATCATCACCTCAGACCCCAGCCAAATCAACACACCAAAGCATCAGGCAAATGGACATCAGCACGTGTCTTCCAGTCTGATGCACCAAGAGTCCAGTCTGAAGGGGATGGCATCCCAGCAGCCCCTCCTGGGTTGCAAGAAGTCACATTCTGGGAAGGAGCCAGCTTGCCAGGATTGGTTGCCCTTGCATTTGTTGTTCCTCCACCCACCCATCCCCCTAAGATGGCACAATGGAATGATTGTGTCCCCTATTGAGGACTTCCCTTTTTAAAAATAAACAAGCAAAAGTTTCCCTAATCTGACCCACATTCATTAGTGGAAGAAGGCAGCCAGTCCCGGGGTGGGGAGAGTGGGAAAGGAAGCCAGGCATCAGGCAAACACACTTGGGGACGATGTGTGGGACAGTGTGCAGGCCTCCGAAGATAGAATAGTGAAAGAAAAGCTGAGCATCAGTGGGCTTGTGGCACTTGCAGAGACATCGTTCCATGGACACACCATTCGTTCCCTTTCTTAGGTTTTCTTGAGGTAATTCTGACAGGCTTTTGCCATGTCCTTCAAGAAGTTAGGGACGCCATTCTGCAAAGGAAAGAACACTTGTCACTTCTGTGTCTTCACAGACATTACTCCTGATTCTTTGGGATGTGGCAAAGGTAAACAAAGATGCCTTGAGAATAATAAATATGACAGTAGGTCCCCTGTCCAATTTCAACAGAACGTCACTACAGATAATGACAGAAGACCCAAGGCACAGGCGAGACTAGACAACAGGGGACACTGTTGTATGCCTTGGCTTTCACTAGTAAAAAGCTAAGATGTTTCTGACACACCATTTTTTGGAGAGAAAAAACATAGGAAATGGGATTGGGTTGGGTTGTGGGATTCTTCCACAGAAATCAGAGAAAGGACTTCTTTTACAGAATTAGAAAATGGTGAGGCTGTGGGGGCAAAGGGTTAGGCTATTTTATTATTTAGTCAGTGCCGAACTTCGTACAAGATTTTCCCCAGACACTGCTTTATTTACTACTACTCTACAGGGTCGGTAGTATCCATCTCCATTTTTAAAAGGGAAGAAATTGATGGCTTCCCTAGATTACACAGACAGAAGCAGGACCAGGATTCAAAATCACATGTATTTGACTCAAAGCCTGTGCGCTTTTCACTCTCCAGGGAATGTGCTGAGCCCTCCCACCAGGAAGTAGGGTCTCCAAAGCAGGCTGAATGATTCTCATCAAGCCAGGTCCCTAGGCAGTCTGCAGTGATCCAGTACCACAGCAGTTCCCTCTCCTTACAGGGAAACAAAACACAACACAACATCAGTAACAAAACTGGGGGCTTCCAGGCTTGGACACATCTGGTTGTCTCTGGAGCCAGGTTAGCCTTCCAGACTCCTCCATAAGGAGGGCAGGGTCTAAAGGCCCCATTTTCTCTATAATGAGCAGGCTATTGTCAGGAGGATCCAGACAGTGATCCCAGCAGGGTGTTGCCAGCAGGGAGGGTCTGACATTCCAGCTAAGGATTCTTTGTCTTTTGTCCCAGCCTCCACATCCTGGGTGTTGGCAACCTCAGTCCTAACTGTAGTCACTCAACCAAGCTGCTTCATAAAAGAGCCTCATTAGGCCTGAGATAGGATGTCTCTTCAGCCTGACAGCCCCTTGGACTAAGTCAACATTTGTCAAAGACACTTCCCCCTCCTGCCTCCTGGGATCTCACCTTGGCGACCCAGTTAATGAGCCAGGACGGAATCTGGCCACCAGGGTTATCGAAGTAATACATGAAAACTAGAGGAGAAAGAAAAGACAATTCAGGAGGAGGAAAAATGTTACAAAGACAAAAACAAACCCTGCCAACCTTCCCCTTTTAGATTCAGAAAGAAGGGAGGGAGCACAGGATTCAGGAGGACTTCTCTTCCCTGTCTCCCAGAATATTTATATGTAAACATTTTTAAATCACAGTCACAGGCACATTTTGCTGCTACTCATTAAACACCTGGCAATGTTCTATACACCTGGATATAGTATCTCATTTAATTACTTCTCTCTTTATTACCTTCATGGTACAATTGGGTCGGTAAGAACAAACCCGAGCTTATAAATGATAACATGGAGGCTCAGAGAAGTTAGGTGGTATGTCCAAGGTGACATCTGAAAAGCGTCAGAACTAAGCTTCAGATTTTGCCTCACATGCAAGGCCACACTTGTTCCAGTACTGTAGGCGGCTGCGTATGCCTACTTTGCTCACAGCTTTTCTCCACGTGGGCTGGAACTCCAGAGAGGCAAGTCCTGAGTCTCTGGGTTTCTCCTGGGCAGGAGCTGCGTCCTCAGAGACAGTGCTGCCAGCCTTCTTGCCCATGCTCAGGCCCAATGTATGTATCCCGAGGACCAATCTAAAGTGAGAGTTTCTAAACCTTCTGGCTCTAATTTCATCCGGACAGTGCAAGAGTCAGTAAAGAATGGGCTGAGTCAGATCTAAATGTCCCCCACGCACTCAAGTTTCTGGGGGAGAATGGAGTCTCTCTCCAGGTGTTGTCTTCTACACGTGCCCATCCTCTGAACTCGGGGAATAAGCACCATGAATTTTACGTGCCTCACAATCAGCATGGCCTTGATACAGGTGGCCCTGGTCAGTGCACCAACATGCACCCCGGCCTTACCTTTGCTTCCCTTCTTGCCATCACTCTCGATTGCGAGGCTCTGCTTGTACTGATTTACCCGGATCACACCAGGCCTCTCGGCAAACTGCGGCACAGAAGTGCTCTGGGCCAGGACCACATGGATCTTCCGCCCTTCCACGTCCAGCTCTTGCCGCTGCCGGATGTAGATGTACTGTAGTGCCAGTCAAGGCATGATATCAATGCCAGCCTTACAGATGGGCAGAAGGAAACCCCACAAGCCAGAGGCAAAGGGAGAGGACTCTGTTCCTCTCACCTGGCATTTGTTCCCTTATACTGTTACTTCACTTCTTGCCCTGTCTCTCTACCTGCACTGTAAGATGGTGTCCCATACTGTCTGATGTTCTCATCTGACAGCATGCCTTACCTACCTGTGAACGAGTCCTTGATGCTTTTAATTATATAGAGAAACCCCTCCTCCTTTCTCTAAGAAGGCACTGTGAGGTATCAGAGGTTTGATCACTCATCAGTGGTGTGATTCTGCATTAGTTACTCCCTGTTTCTGAGGCTAAGTTTCCCTCTGTAGGGAAAGGGGGTTACACTGCTCAGCAGGCATGCTTGGTGGGGGCACTGGAGAAACCAGGGCAGAACAGGCACCCCATAAACTTTGTCCTTCCCTCCTCCAAAGCTCTAGTTGCTGACTTCTATGCACAGAGGATGGCCAAGCAATGTTACTTACACCTGCTGGTCATAGGAAGAAACCTAAGCACCTGAATGTTTAGTAGGTAGATGTCCTCTCTGGGTCAACATTGATTCACCAAAAATAACAAAGCCATTTCATCTCAATAAACACTTGTAGAACACTCACTATGTCTATGGCACTATTCTAGAGAAGATAATTTAATCCTAAGAAGCAGTGAGAGTTACCATTTATTCAGACATTACTATGTGCTTTACATGTAGCACCAGTTTTGATCCTGAAATGGTCCCTGTGAGTTCGGTGTAAGTATCCCCATCCTACTGATGATAAAACTGAGGCTCAGAAAAGTAAAGAAACTTGCCAAAGACCCATAGCTCAACTGGAACCTGAATGCAAGCCCAGATCTGGCCCCCAAACGTAGTTAGACTTTCATAGCTAGACAGGCCTCAATAGAATTTTAGGTTTTGCACTAGAAGGAATTCAAAGACTAAACAATTAAAAAAAAAAAATCACCCTAAGTGTAACACAATTATACTTACTATAACAGCAACAACCATAGCCCCATGCCACCTCAGAGTCTCTGCGGCACCCACAGTGGTCCCAGCCCTCACTCAGCCTGCAGGATGGGATGTTGCCCCCGCTCTCTGTGGACTGACGAGTAAAGTTCTTAAATGTCTTGGGGGAGAAATGAATTTGCTTTGGCTCTGGCTTTCCTCCCCCAGGCCTCTTTCCTCACAGCCAAGATTGTCCTACTCTCTCCCAAAACTTGCTCAGCTCATGTGACAGATATCACCTGACACTCCATTGAGGAAAAATCAGCTGATCTATTAAGACTTGGCAAAGGTCTTCAAAGGGTTGGGAGGTTGCTGGGCCTTCCATAGAGCCTATGAACAGAGAACCACCAGGTCACTGAGGTCCAGAGAAGCGAAGGGACTTTTCCAAAATCACACAACAAATCAGGGAATAAGCTCACATTCAGTCTGGGATCTCTGGCTCAAAATGAATGTTCTTTTCCACTGCGCTATTCTCTGTTCTCAAAAATTTAACCCTTAGTGGAGAGACATATGTGCATATGAGAAACTCACTGTGGGACTGTGGGGCCTGGAAAGCCAATTAAATAGAACTTCAAGTAGCCCCAAGTGTCCACTCCTAAGACCTACCCAGCAGTGTCACAGTGAGGTCAGAGAGATGGACTCATGCCCTGGTCAAGGTCACCATCTCTGGAAAGAGCTGCACCTGGGACCAGAACCTGCCTCTGCCACCCACTAGTTGTGTAAACCACAGCAAAGTTCTGACTTCTCTTTGCATCAGTTCCCTTGACTACAACATGAGGATGATGGAACTCACTTTGCACAGTTGTTGGTAGGATCAGAGGTAACCACATAAAACCTAAGAAGTAATCCACGATCTGTTGAAATATGTACCATGTGTGTACCAACTACCTAGCAGTATGCGGGCAAGACATAAACCCTTAAGGGGCGCCTGGGTGGCTCAGTCGGCTAAGCGTCCGACCTCAGCTCAGGTCACAATCTCGCAGTTCGTGGGTTCGAGCCCCGCGTCGGGCTCTGTGCTGACAGCTCAGAGCCTGGAGCCTGTTTCGGATTCTGTGTCTCTCTCTCTGACCCTCCCCCATTCATGCTCTATCTCTCTCTGTCTCAAAAATAAACAAACATTAAAAAAAAAAAAAAAAAAGAAATAAACCCCTAAGGATTTTATAATCTGGTTGGAGCCAAGGTAAACACATACACTTAGACGCAAACACACACACACACACACACACACACACACACACACACAATTTCTATAAAACACACCCGCATGCTCCTTCTCTTTCTTGTGAATAATTATTTAAGAACATACAAACTTGTATAATGTCAGAGCTAGAAATTCAGTGGCTCTCCAAACTTTTTTTAATCCGCAAGACCCTTTGCTGAAAGGATCTTCTATGGAAATTCAGTGTGTAAAACACTTGACTGCTGTGATTGAAGAGGACAGTGAAGGAGTGGAAACCTCACCCCTCAGTCATCCTGCCCCCACCCTGCCTGTCCTTGAAATTCCATCCCCCATAGGAGGCTTGTCCTGAGAGGGCCTCCTAGAACCTTGTACTGTTAGCTAAAACTCCCCACGTTCCATTCAACTGCTTTAATGATAAATGAGGAAACTGGGGAAGAAACATATCCCCAGTACCCAGAGCCAGCAGTCAAGGAGGGATCGCTGTGGGGTCACTCAAACTGGAGAGGAGATGGGGAGGGCTGGAAAAGTGAGGGTGTGAGTTGCAGTCCCCACTCTGTATGTATGCCTCTGTCACTTTACCTCCCTGGGTGCTCACTTCCACCTCTAGATTGAGGGAATTTGTAAACACTAGAAGAACTTCTCTCCAGGTCCCCATTTCTGGAGCCAACAAATTCAAGCCTTAGAAAACTTTTCAGGAAAGTCTGAGCTGCCCTCCAGTGACCACAATCATAGACGCTCCACATGGTCAGGCCCAGAAATCACACTCTGAGGTCTCCAAAAGCCACACAAGAAGCAACAGCTTCAGCAGATGTTTCTGCAAGAATCAAAGGACAACGCTGTCCACATTGCCATGGGCATGACACCACTGGGCAATAGCCAAGGGGCACAGAAACACTTAGGAAGTCAAGTAGTGATGTGCCTTGAGAAAGGATACGTCTCGGTTGGACATGGGAAAAGGGTACTTCACTTCCCAGTAGACCACGGTTTCTCCATTGCATTCCTTTTCATAGAGTTCTAAGGAGAACAAAAGAAGTTAATGTATCTGGAAGCTTTCTGGGCTTCATTTAACAAGAAGCCTAGGTATGATGATCTCTGAGGGTAATGATAAACCACTAACTCATAAGGCACAGAATTCTAGGAGAAATAAGATTCATTAATGCTAAAAGCTTGTTGCCCAAGAGCAGAGTCTAGTAGACATTAAAACACAGTAAAAATAAAATAACAAAACGTGTCCATTGGATAGCACACGCAAGATTCTCAAATACAATGCAATGGAACAAAATCAGGCACCCAAAAATAAACGTTCAGGTTTTAAAATCAGGGCAACCAGCAGATGTCACTAGAGTACCAGTAGTTTTGCTTTTGATTTCTCTCTAGATTTCTTGACCTATTACAGCTAGCCCTGAACTGAGTCACCCAGTCTAGTGCGTTCAACTGGGAAATGAAGGTTCTAGCCAGGGCAGTGTCCTTCCTAAACAGCTAGGAAGTGGCATAGCTGTGGCTAACCCTAAGTGTCTTGCTTCTCTCCCCTGTTTCTTTACACACTACCATGACTGCAATGACCAGATTCCCTTAATATTTCATCGTTCTATAGTGTGCAAATAGCAGCTAACTTGGCTGGAGAGAGCAAAAGAATTCAATGGCATGTACACCCTCTGACCTCAAGCTGTGCAGTATGCCTTCATACTAAGCATTTATTTAAAGAAGGAGGCAAGCCAAGGCTGCTGAAGTAACCATGACAGACCCTTAAGGAGATGCTGATGGGGGAAAAGTATTCTTTAATTCAGCTTTGGTAGGAAAATCTATTAGAAGACCATGGATTAAAGAGCTTGCCCATTGGTGCCACAAGAGACTAAAGACAGCCCTTGAGAGGAAGGGAAGAAGTAGACATCTGTGACCTTTGCATACTCAGCATCACCTCCCCCTTCTTGAACCAGTGATCTCCATTCTCCTTCACCCTTCCCCTCCTTGACTATGCGGTTTAAGCAGGGCTGACTCAGCATTAATTTCAGGGCTGGGAAAATGAGCAAGATGTGGCCACAGTGATTCATTCAGGGATGGTGCATCTGGCCAGGGTCTTACCTTGTGGTTTAGTAAAGGCCCTCAGGTAGCTCACAGAATATCTAGAAGGACCAGAGCTGGGCTTAGAACCTCAGGATTGTTCCAGAGAAGCCAAACTACTGCTGCTACCGGACTAGACACCATAGTGTGAATGGCTGATGCCAAGTACCAAACATCAGAGGCTCTGCAACTGTTTCTCCCAGTGTCAGACACCTTAGCCCTGACCATCACCAGAAAATTGATTTTGCATGCTGCAGTTCTCTCTCACATTGAAGCTGCATGTGTGTCTTACTGGCAACATCTATATTACACCCCTGAGGAGACTGGGACAGAGAACATCTGGCTTCTCCCTTGAATGGACAAGTATCACAGTTCTTCCTAGATAGAAAGGGTACTGGAAAACACTAGGAGACCACAACCATGACAAACATCCACAGGAGGCCATGAGAGCAAATTCTGGGGCTCTGGCTGCCGTGAGCAGGAAAGTGGAATGCTCCTTCCTGTTCCTGTGGGGTTATTATTTATATGGTTAGACTATAAGCCTGGATCTTCTGGTGGCCATCTTTGCCATGACATAAGAATCTGCCTAAGAATTAGGTCAACTCAGAAGAAAACTGAGTCGAGATGGAGAAGTTATTTAAGCATTAGATGCAGCTGTCCTAGAAGTCAGATACCCCTGGACTTTTCAATGCCATGAAACCAATAAACTCTTTTCCATTTCTTACACTGGCATTTGTTAACTTTTTGTTGCTTGCAGCCAAAAGTCCTGACTATAGCAAAGGTCTTTCAGAGTTTACATGCACCTTGGCTAGTTCTGCAGTTCTCTTCCACTGTGACTGATTTGGCAGAGGCCACTCCCACCTTTAAGTGACAGGAGGAACCCCTATTTAATGCCTTTCACAGGTGGCATTCTCCTTCAGGGCATCACCCTTCCCCTCCTCCTTGACTTTCAGGGCAAAATCTAAGAACTGGAGCCTTGGAGCTCTGGACCTTCCTCCTGCCTTAGCTCTACATTCTGCTACCCCAATAACATAATAAAACCAAACTGCTCACAGTTTTTGAACATACCATGCTGTTTCATGCCTTCCTCCCTTTATTCATGCTGTTCCCTGGGCCTCAGATGGCCTCAAGTCCCCCATCCCCTCACCTTCTCACCCTCTCACCTATATGCATTCTTCTTGTTGATAAAACTTTGATTCAACTTCCAAAACAAAGCTTGGACACCACCTCCTCCAAGAAGCTGCCTATGACTACCAAGATATGTGAGATGATGTTGAACTTACAGTGAGAACAAAGGAGGCCCCAGAGCAAACTGGAGAGTAGCAGCTAAGGGAATGCAAAGAATCACAAAGGAATCACAAAGGAATCACGTTTCAGCCCAACACTTAAGACTTTCATGCCAAAATTAAAAATAAAACATAGTAGAAATTGAACCTGTTGCTTTCTACTAGCTGGAATAAGTAACAATAGATTCTACTTTCTAGATTTTTTTTTCTTAATAATAGATGCTATTCACCTTTAACATATTGGTCCCACTGTTTTCTGTAGTCTAAGTCCATGTAGACATCTGCGAGTAAAGCCGGAGGGCAGTCGTCCAGAACACCAAAGACTTTATACTCATAAAGTCCCGTCTGCTGTAAAAACAGAACAGGCAAAACAATCTATTGATTTCCAAATAGACAGCCGGATGACACAGCATATGAAAAGCAGATGTTCATACAACACCAATTATTGAGTACCTCCTCTGTGGTCTTGGTAATACAATAATGAAAAAGCAGATGAGGCCCCTGCTCTAGTGGATCATACATTTATTGTAGACATTGGTGGTGGTGGTGGTGGTGGCGGTGGCTATAAATGCTATCTAGGTAATTTGAATAGTATATAAGGAAAGTTATGTCATCAGTGGTGCCTGTTTTGGGGGCAAGGGGTGTCCTACGTAATCAAGTAATCAGGAAAGACCTCTATGAGGGATAACCTTTATCAGAACATCTTATTCTAAATATTAGATGGAACCAGCCATGGGAAGATAAGGAAAACCCATTCCTGGTATAGGGAAGACCTTCACATTTATGAACCTTCATGCTCAAAAAACAGGAAGTCATAAGATCCAGAGAACTGTGGATTGGGAAGGTGGTAGGAGCTGAGGTCAGAGAGACAGTGGTGTCCAGACTCCACAGGGCTTTGTAAACCAGGGTGATGGGATAAAGATTTTGTTCTAATTACTAAGGAAAACCAATGAGTGACTTTAAACAGAGGAACACTAAATAAAAAGACGATCCTTGATGCTTGGTAGAAAATAGATCATAAGGGAGCAAGGAGATGGTTTGAAGACCAGTGCAATGGTCCAGATAAGAGATGATGGTGATTTAAACAAGGAGGTGACAACAGTGATTGAGAGAAGTCAGTGATTTAGAGTTATATTTAGAAGTAATGTTAGCAAGAAGTGCTGACAGATTGCCTGTGGAGAAGAGAAAGTAAAGAATTACTTAGAACCTCTGCTTGAACAACTAGGTAAATGAGAGATCCATGCTCTAAGATAGAGAACACTTGGGAAGAGGTGATATGTGAGCTATGGGGATATCAAGAATTCTACTTTTGAGTCTAAGATGCTTATTAAACATCCAAGTGGGAGTGTCATATAGGCAGCTAATGCTCAGGGGACAGGTTACTATTTTAGATATCCATGGGGCATAATGAAACCTAACACATTGTTTTTATCAATGCCAAGAAAGAATTTGTCAACAACTTCCTTTTTATGTAAAGAACTTGTGTATAAAACATCAGCTTCAAATCACATTAGTCCTCTTTATTAAAAAAAAAGATAGAGACCATTTCTAGATTCCAAAGGATGAGAGTCCCTCTCCCCCCCTCCCCCCACCTGTGGCCTTTTTTTTCCTTCATGCGAGACCATATCCTCCTCGGTGAGGGTTCTGGGGCTAGAGTTGGCCATGTTATGCATTTCACTTTCCCTACAATGGCAACTAACAATTCCTGACCCTCCCCTTGCCTAAAGGCTTTACTGTTAAGATTAAACCAAAGGCTTTTAGATTAACTTCCATGCAAAAGCAAACAAATAAAACAAAAATGATGCTTTTAGAATGACACGTTCTTCCATGTGCTAAAGCAATGTTATTGGCTCAATGTTATTGACTAATCGAACATGTGAATTCAAGAGGTAAACATGGTGAAGCTTTGTAGAGATCTTGAGGCTACAAGGGCTTCCTGGCTCAGGGGGCATAACCCAGGGCAAAACATATCCTAGTTTAAGAATCCCATCTATCTGTTAAATTAACTGGTAAGAAATGGAAGATGCAATTGAAATGGAATTCATAAAGTTCTTCCAGCTCTAAAAGTATGTGACTTTATACCAAAGGTTTCCAACCAGCAAATGACAAACTAGCAGATCTAAACACCTCACATGCTGTGAGCACAGCACGCGAGGTATTTAGATCTGCTAGTTTGTATACCCCAAAAGAAAGACAAACATCAGGAGAAACACCTCCTCCTCCCTCCTGTGCCCTCCCCTCACACAGATGGGAAGACAGTGAGGGTTTATACATACTCATACATTTATTAATCATCTCTGGAAGAGAGACAGTTCCCTGTTCAGGAGTGCTGGGGCCCCATTTTCTGTACATACTGAGCAAAAGGGATAATTATGCATTGAGATAATGATCTCAGCTTACATGAGTTAACTTTGGTTATCTGGATACTTTAAGACAAACTGTTTCCTTACACTGGTTCCCTTCCCCTTCTGAATTTAGTTACTGTCCTTAGTGACCTCAGTCCTATACATATCACAGAAAAGAAAAACAGAAAGCCCTCTTAGAAAGAGAAAAATAAAACGATGTGATTTACGTGAATACAGAAGAACGAACTATTGTTACAACTTCCTTTAAACACTCCCTTCGTGGCAGAACTGAGACATGCCAGGACTCCAGAGGAACAAAATGCTTGGTAACACTTCCCTTGTCTATCAATAAAATGTTCTTTTCAAGTAACAAACAGCCCACCAAAATTCTTGGATCAATGCACCTTTTCACCTATTATTTCTTTCTGACAAGGATCTCTGCAAACATACACATGATTTTACTTTCCTTTAAAAAATAAAGTGAATTTTTTATAACTGTATAAATAATATTCATTATAGGAAAATTGGAAAATGCAAAAAACTGAATAAGGAAAATATAAATGACATGTAACCCCATAATCCACAAAGATCTATTGGTAATATTTGACATATTTCTTTTAAGTACATAAATACTTCTATATGTTACAATATCGGAATAATATGGTTTAAACAACTTGTATTCTCTATGGAGAGATCAGACCTAATTTAGTTATTCTCATCCAGTCCTTCATTTCTAATATTTTTACAAATATAAATATTGCTGGAATAATTATTATTTCAGATGGACCAACTTGGTCCATAATTCTAATTTTTTTCATTAGGAAAGCTTCCTTAGAGATAGATTTTAGTAAAGGTTCTATATGCTTTTTTTTTATAAGTTTAAGGTTCTTCATGCTTTTTATAAGGCTTTAAGAATTTATACCAATGTATAGTCTTGCCAATAGCACAGGAACATCTCATCAGGATTGGGTACCATTGTTTGTGCAAATAGTTTGATAGGAAAGGGAATAAAGCTTGGCTTGATTTGGGCAAAGTTTTTATTACTGATGTGTAAGATCTCCTTAAAATTAGAAATATAAACTTTCTGCATTATGTGTAAGATTCAGTAGATGATTCAATAAATGATTCCAAATAAGTTTACTCAAGAGATTCTTGGCTTTCCTGAAGCTCCTCCAGAAAATCATTTGTAAGAATGTCTCCATTTATTTATCACGCTGTAAAACTTGGTGTATATTTTTCTAATTCTCCATGTATGAATAAAATTGAAAAAAAATTATTCGGTGGTAGGGAATCAGTAAATACCTTGTGTAGAATACAGTGACCAGAAGAAACAGAAGATTTACCGTAGCACAGAGTGCCTTCTTTCTTGCTAAGAGAACCTCTGTGGCAATGTACACAACTAATGACTTTGCCGGTCTCCTACACTGGTTTGACTATGGCTATTTGGAGCTACAGCAGCTATTTTGTAATGAAGAGGTACCAAACATGAGGAGGAAGACTAAAAAGACTCCTTGTTTTACTGGCATCATTGATCAGCTAAACCAGTGCCATCAACTACTGACCCCTGCTCTACTTGTTAAATGAGAAAAATAAACCCCTCTTTGAGTCACTGTTTGTACAGTTTCCTGTTACTTGCAGCTAAAAGCAATCTTAATTGATAAAAATGATCCTTTCCAACAATGAATTTTACAGGAGTCCTGTGATTTGGGGGAACAGTGAAGGTTAAGAAACTCCCCTCTCCTTTGTGTTCCAGAAAAGAGCTTGTTGCAAAGAACCATCATTCCCCATAGGACTTAGATAAGACTCCCAGATGCTGCCCTTGTTTACCTGTGACAAGGCCAGACACAGACGCTCTGAATTCCCTTGCATTGCCTCATAAATGATTAGCTGAACTGCTTGTCCCCACTGATCCAATCAGAACAAAATGCTTGTGAACCAGACTGGTTAAGTTTCTCTCATTCTTCCCCTAAATGTTGGCCCACCCTCAGGCTGAGCCAGCATACAGCCCCTCCTGAGAACAGATTAGCCTCAGGGCAAAATATTCTCTGATCTACTATCCAGGCATGCCACCTTTTATCTCACTTCCTCACACTGGTTTCTCACCTTGTTTACTCATCTCTATAAAAGAAAAACTCTTTTTGCCTCATTCTTGAGACATTCACAGATCTTATGGTCAAAGCGTTCTCCCTATTACAATAATCTCTCTCTCCCCACTTTGCAATAATCCTTTTGGATAAAAGTCTCTCCTTGTGAGTCCAGGTTTGTTTTTACTTGGCATTATTACTCTAAAGTAGAAAAGCAGATGGCCAGAATAGTGCTAATAAGACTTAGATGCATTTACAAGGAAAAACTATTATGTATAAATCCATTAAAACGGTACAGAAGTACATAAGCATTGCTACAATGCATTGTCAAGGAAGAGAGGGAAGAGATCATGGCCAGTGTTAATCAACATTAAGTATATTTAATTTTGCACATCTGAAACTCCACACACTGTTATAGAAAGTGCCACCTACTTCCACTAGGTCAGAAAAAAGTATAATTACAAAAAATTAACATAAATTTTATTATAAAATTACAAACTTGCTAGGACCTGCTGTATCCTTGGCCCTGGGAAGAAATCGGGCATACACATATTCTTGGCTTTTGAGCTTAGAACATATTTCCCCCTGGTGATGTCAGTAGTCATGCAATAGCCATGCATTCTGTATTTGAAGTTTTCTGGTCACTTTGACCTGCTATAAATTATTTTACTAATACTAGTAATTGTTCAGTTTTCAGTTTTATATTCATTACCTCATGTAATCTTTAACAGAGCTCTGTGATAGAGATGGGGATGTTAGTGTTATCTCCATCTTTATGTGAAGAAATTATCTCAGACAGGCTAAATTACTTGCTTGAGTCCCACAGCTAGTACTTGGGACAGCCAGAAAGAAGGTGACATGGGCCCTTCTACTTCCTTCAGTGTCTCCTGTTTAGCCCTACTGTCTGCACATTTCCTTC